GGATTTGCTTTAATCATCCGCTTCACCTTTCCCTCCATCTTTTTGTTCTCCGGTCCCGGTTTTCTTCCAGTTCCTTTGCCGTGGTCCAACGTCAACCGGTCCTGGAACCACTTCAACACTCTGGAGACGGTTGAATGGTGAATGTTCAACATTTTTCCCAACTGCCAGTGCGACAGGTCAGGAAATTCCAGGTGTTTGGAAAGAATTTGTTCTCTCAACTCGCGTTGGTTCACCTCCATTTTCGTTGAATCGAAAAACACGACTTCGAGTTTGACAGCATGTACACAATACACATCAATGAGAAAGTGTGCAAAATTTGGTTGATTTTTACCCAATGGTAAAAAAGTTATGCCCTGTTGAATGTGTCGCAATAATTTCGTGTTCACCCTTTACGCTTAACCTAACGGTTATTCGCGGGCGGATTCCTCCAGTGGGAAATCTCTTAAAAACAGCGCTATTGATATCGTTCCGGTCATGTCTCAAATTGGCCACTTCCCCCAGGGAACCAAAATCTGCTCCAAGGAAACCGCTTGCTCCGGTGAATCTGAAAAAGCTACCATTGGCATTGGTTTGCAAAATCTCGAAGTATGACACCCATATTGATGTGGTTTAGGTCATGTCTCAAATTAGTTTATTTGGTTCTACATCAACAGACTGGGTTTAGTCGAAGACAACATATCAAGAAGACTGGCAACTCTACCATTTTCTCATACGAACGCTATGAGCTAAATGCTTCGAACGAATTGGATAGCAAAAATTACAACCTCAGAAAAATGGTTTGTGTATTTGATAATTTATCTATGCGTTACTTCCACCTTTGCTCGAGAGCAGCGCTACTGTATCCGTCGCTTAGATTATGGCAGAGTTGTCAGTCTTCTTGATTTGAAGTCTTCGGTTTAGTCATAATGATGGATTAAGCAATACTAGGAAATACAATATAGTCAAGAAGTAACAAGCTGCAAATGCCATGAAATCCAACTTAATTCCTAATAAATAAGGAAGCAACACGATTGAAAACCCTTTGTAGCCCATTGATAGCACCATACGAACTATAGTTTGTACGACGAAAAGGTATCCTCAGCATTGCGTTGTTACGGAGTGTTCGTGGTTGAACGTTAACGTCGATTTGTTGTAGAATAGAAGGACAATCGATTCTGCCCTGTAGAATGTCTGCCACAAACAGGGCCCTTGTCGTATCTCGTCGACTCCACAAAGGATCCAGGTGAATTAACTGGCACCGACTTTCGTAGCTTGGAAGGCGATGAGGATCCCTCCAAGGCAATCGTCGAAGGGCTAACCATATGAAATGTCGTTGAATAGACTCTACTCTTTGTACACTGTTTTGGTACTTGGGATTCCATACAGGGCAGCAGTATTCAAACTCCGACCGGACGAAGGAGCAGTAAAGCGACTTCAAACAGTAGATGTCCGTGAAACTTTTAGGTATCGTGAAAATGATACCTTGTCGATCACGTACGAGATATGCTGGCAGTATGCGAGTTGACAATCTAAGATGACTTCCAGATCCTTAATGTGATTCAAACGATGTACGTCAACGCCTTCTAAGATATAATTGAATGTAATTGGATGTTTCTTCCGTGAGAACGTGATTACTGAACATTGAATAAATCCAAACCACCATGCGGTTCAGTTGGCACCAATTAGCAAAAGTTTTGAGTTGGAGTTGGAGAAGGTTGCAGTCAGCGATGGCTCGGTTTCGGAGATAGATTTTCATGTCGTCTGCGAACGACAGTCGTGGACCGTCGAGGACGAAATTGACGTCGTTGAAATACACAAGAAATATCAACGGGCCGAAGTGGCTACCTTGCGGAATACCCGAAGTGGCAGGGAACGAAGGAGATCGGCAGTCGTCGATTGCAACTTCCAACTGAGGAGACTGCCGTTTATACCGAGCCTATCCAGTTTGGCGATCGCTATAGGATGGTTTAACTTGTCGAAGGCGGCTGATAGGTCAGTGTAGATGACTGTGAGACACAGAAGGTTGGAAGTAGTCGACCGCCCTGCCATGAAAGCATGCTGGTCTTTGCTCAAGTGCTGCTTGAAGTGAGAGACTAAAGGCCGGCGCACAATAGATACGTTTTCGGGTTTTTTGACAGTTAGCCCATGCATTATCTGTCAAAAAACCCGAAAACGTATCTATTGTGCGCCGGCCTTAATGGTTCCATAACGACCAGCTCGAACAGTTTAGATATGGCACACAACGATGTGATGCCGCGATAGTTGTCGATGTTTCTTTTGCATCCCTTCTTATGCACTGGAAACATCTCAGCTGATTTCCAACAGGAAGGAAACACCCCACTGGCGAGGGACATTTCGAACAGAAGGCAGAGAGGAGCCACCAGGCTATCGATGTGTTGCTTGAGAAAGACGGAGGAACTCCGTCAGGTCCAGGCTTAAATGAAGACTTCAGTTGCGAAGCCGCCCTAGTTATCATAGCGAGTTCGATGTTGATTGCTGCCAAAGATTGATCAGACATTGGAACATTACTGGCTGCTAGAGAAACGTGCTCGTCAGGTAGGTTCTCATCCGAGAATACACTCGCAATTCTGGTTTAGAAAAGACGGCAAATGTTCTGAGGGGATGAAGCTTCCGTTCAGTACCATAGGCATCCAGAACCTACTCCAGGGTAACCATGACAAGCTGCGGACTTAAAAAACCACCGTTCGATTATATTGATCCAGCACCTGCTCCAAGGAAACCGGAGGAAGCTGTAAACCTGAAAAAGCTACCATTGGCATTGGCTTGCAAAATCTTGAAGTTTGACACCCATATTGATATGGTACACGTCATGTCCTAAATTGGTCACTGCCCTAAGGGAACCCAGAATCTGCTCCAGGACGGCCATCGCAAATTGTGACGCTGAAAAAGATACTGGAGATATCGCACTGAAAAATCATGAGGATTGATACCCATATTGACGTGATTCAAAAAATTAACATTACTGGTCACTTTACCGGAACCGATTTCGAAGAAATGGCCAGATCTCGGTTGTTTCTCAACAGAGCTTAGATCTGTGAACAGCATTGAATTCAGAATTGCTTCTAGTATCATCTAGTATCATCCGGTGGCCACTGGCTACCACACATTTTCAAATGACTTATTCAAAATATTGAAAATTCCCCGTCAAATACATCCGGTTTCATCAAAATTGGATTATTTTTTGAAAAGTTAGTGCCATTTGAATTATGAGAAAAAATTGTCTGTTTTCTTTCAGTGCCAACATTTCAAAGGGGGGTAATTGCATTTGTTAACAATGTCGCTGATGAAGGTTAATGACATCAACAGGTAGTGGAATGTTTCATCTACCAGCTAGCATTGTTAATTTGGAGGGGTGAGCTTTTAGTTGCGAGAAATCGACGACTAAAGCCATTGTTTACCAAAGCAATTACGCCTCTTTGAAATGTTGGCAGTGATTTTGTCTATCTTCTGTATATTATATTTTTTGGAGCAAGAAAATAAAATTACGAAATGTTACAGACCAAAAAGTGGTAAACCCCTTGGTCTCCTGTAATCCTTAGATATATTAAGAAGCTGTCATCTTCTTTTAATTTCCTTCTCTAAAATATTCACTTCTACACAATATGTTTCGATAAGAGATGAACTAGCCTCAGGCTAAAAATCTCTAAAATAAAGATTAAAAAAAAAAAAATATGTTTCGATCTATCTTGTTCAAGCATTGGCCACGCCGTAGTCGCTCAACGGGATCGAATGACCAGCTTCAGCATGTGTGTGCTTGATGGTATCCTATCCTACGAGACTTGAAGCGCACCATTTGCAAATAGCGCATGATTGTGACTGTGCACCATTTTCCGAGACCTTCTGCTGGAGTCTCGCTTCTATGTTGCGTCTGTTCCCTCGATAGTAAACAGGAATATCATGATAGTACGTTTTTCGAAACTTATAGACATAGGGAACTTACGACAAGTATCGAGATGCGTGAGCAGCAATCGAAGTACCTTTAGCTATCCTCCGAAATGCTCTGAAATTACTAATCTAGGGGAAATGTTGGCTTCGGCAATACCTTAACCTATTATCGTCAGGGGGTAAACAAAGTCCTAGAGCACTCAAATTTGTCCAATAGATGCCCTGACACAATGTATCCACATGCCAAAATTAAGCTCCCAAGGACGTTATTTACCCCCTTGACAATAATAGGTTAAGGTACTGCCGAAGCCAACATTTCCCCTATATGATATGAGAATTGAATTTCACGAAGCATCTCTTCCGTCGTTGAACAGTTTTCCAAGTTAAGAACATCATGTGAACTTTGATTAGCAGTGTTCCAAAGTAAACAAAAAATCAAATCAAGGACTTAGAAAAAATATCAAGGCAACCGAAATTGTCTAAATTCCAAGTTTATAAAATGTGTAAGACCAATTTTAAGACCTGGAACGTTGAGTATACATTTTTTCAATAACCTAGACATCAAAATTTGGCACCAGTGAGATAAACGTTCTAAAACTTAGTGCAATTCTAAAGCATTTGAAATGTCGGGACTGGACAAAATTAAAAGCTAAGAATTCGATAAAAAATCAAGATCTGCAACCTTAAAAAATGCTTATGATATCCAGTTAATTTTTTTTTAATTCATTCAAGTCCTATTAGAAATCTAGTATCAAGGTAAAACTGATAAACGTTATCAAACCAGATAACGAAACAGAATCAAACTGACCACTCATCATCTGCTTCCGGGATCAGTCACAGTTCATCGTTCGACTATGCTTATTCAAAGAAATGCTCAAGCACTGATAACAACCACAAACAACCAATTATCATCAATTTCGTACCAGATGTTCGTCGAGAATTCCGTCATTCTTTCGTTCTATCGCATTTTCCACCCGAACGCTCCACGCGTCGTTCTCACCCTCTAGCCTATACTTAACAGTGTTGAACCTTTTTCCCCATCAACAGTAGATGAAACAGAACACACAGAAACGAACGCTCTAATTGCAAGGCTTCTGCCGGCTGACTCAACTTACCAGAACAGGATTCGCAACGTGTTGGCAATTAGCAGCGCTAGGCAAACGTGCAGCGAGAACCCCTCCGGATCCTGGGTCTTTTTGATCTGCTTGTACTGCGGCACGTACGGCAGCACTCCACCGACGACCATAAACGAAGCGGACACATAGCCCACGACGTGGCCCACCGTCAGACCGAGCTCGTCATTGATGATCCAATCCATGGTTGGTAGAAATTAGCGATGTTTGCTGTTGTATTGGCTAAATTCTTCGGAAGATGGTAGATTAAATCTCTATCCCATCAGGGTGACGATCAGTGTGCTACTAGATTCTAGTAGTGACTCCTCGGGGATGTGTCGATATTTCACGGTCGCTAACTTTGGCCTCGCACCAGCCAAACAAGGAAACACTGCACACTGCTATTGGAAGCAACTTATTTGTAAGTCGTCGTCGTCGTCGTGATGCCTTCACTCAGAATCAGAATAACAAAGATTTCCTGCTGCATCAACCGGAGGAGAGGCAGCTGCATTCAATTTGCGACGAACGACGACTGAAGCTCTTTGTGTGATTGCTTTAAAGACGACCGAATGAACACAAAAAAAAAACGGCCAGCACCAGCCAGAAGGCTTAACTCAAAAAAAAAACACAAGATAAGAAATAAATTACACCAATAAAGGCAAATTATAGACACACTCGTAGGCCAGCTAGGAATGTCCGGAGAATGAGACGGTCTCTGGATGCTTCCTCTCCGACTTGCTTATTCTTTCTGTTTTCGACGCGATTCCAACTTCTCACCGCGAATCAATCAATTTTCCGAAGTTTTTCCACAGACATTTCCACTTGGACGCGACTCGGGCAGTGAAAAACTGTTCTCCCTTTTATTCACACTGATTTTCCTTCCACCAAATGCATTCATGGGTTCTGATTTCCACTTCAGTCGGATGGATTACTTGAAAGCCAACCAGCCACGGCACGTTCGTCGAGGAGAGGTCCACCCACGGCTCCAAATCATTGACCAGTTATTTTTACGGCACACACACGCCTCATCCCGTCAATATTTTCGGCCTCGGTTAAAATTTTCCCAAACACTTTCCTCGCCGCCGACGGCGACGACTACCACGGCGATGCCGGACAGGTTTTCGGTGCAAATTTTTCACTCTTCGATTTCGATTCTTTGGACTTTTTTTTTCCTCACACCCACTGGTTGCCTGACACCAGCACTACTGCATCATCGTCATCACCGTCTTTGTCGCCAGTGATAGCTATAGTCGTCAGCCGTAATCAAACACACAGTTCGGGAATCACTCTTCTACTGACACAAGTTTCGCGATTTTCAGAGCAGTTTAGAGTAAAGCCCTACAGTAAAAGTATGGACGACTGACACCACAAAACTGAAAAAAGCTGTTCCAATCGAGCAAAGCGGTGCATTTTGACGGTTCGATTGGAACAACTTTTGACAGACGTCCATACTTTTACTGTAGGGCTTTAGTTTAGAGACGACCGCAACGCAATCCGTGTCAGTGGACCAGCGGTTCTCAATGTTTTTTAGATTGCAACCCATTTTGCGTTCTCCCAAGAGCTTCCTAATATTGAATACAGTATGATGTAAGGCCAAAATGACCTTAGAAACACCAAAAAAGTCAAGTCAGCTACACAAATGGCCTAAAACGCTGGAATGGCATTTTGAAACGTGCATAAATATAATCTTGAAACCATAATATAATCTTGAAAATGACAAAATACCAAAAATGGCCTCACAATCGTTAAACTAGCCTATACCAACATTCCTTTAAAAACACTCAAATGGCCTTTAAAAGCCTTAAAACTCCAAAATAACGTTAAAATCATTGATCCGTCCTGCCGGAAAACGACAAAATAGTGATGATTTAGAATTTCCATAATTTAAAAAAAAAGTAAGTAAGATTTAAATTAGTTTAAGAAAACTGCTATTAAAAACAGATAATGAATTTCAGCGACCCACTGGTGCACCGCAACCCATAGATTGAGAAACGCTGCTCTAGGCGACTCTCTTCGTTTTGTTCTCAACACAGCCTCAACTCAACTCAACTCAATACACAAGGCAACGGAACTCGGAACGGTACTCCAATAACTCGATGTAAACAGGTACATACCATTTGGATTTATAATAGTATTGGTAATTTAAGAGCCAGCTGTTCGATGCGCTCTGGAGAGCGTAGCTCATGTAAATAATAATGATTGTTATGCATCCGGTTGAAAGCTGTTCACTAGCTGATCGAACAAATCTTTTACTCAAGAACCAGCTTTATCCGGTTTAGTGAATAATATCGAAAACAAATAAATTCTCTACCACCACCAATGCATAGGGAGGCACCTGTCGAACGTGTTCCGCCTTCCTCGAGAGAGAAGAGAGAGAGTGCGGAAGAAATGTTTATGTTTGTGTTTTTCTTTTTGTTTACTATGTTGTACTAGATCAATATGTTGACATTTTCCAATCATCAGTGGAAACGTCAAAATTTCTCAGTACTAGAACATGCAGTAGAATTTCGCAGGGCCAAACTTTAAAACACAATGAGATTTCACGGTCGTTCAGATCAACTCAAAATTGGGTCGAGTCAACTCAATTTCGGTAAAAGTGGATTTACCAAAGAGTAACTGAGGGGGTGACACCGAGGGATTTCTACCAGCGTTAATTACCGGTCAGTGCCTGTCAAATTACTGAAAATTACTCAGATTGCTTTTCAATTAATTAAAATTATTTTACTACTTTGAAATTACTTTTATTATTCTCGATTACTGAAATTACTTCGATTGCTTGAATAATTTTAGGAATTACTTTGGAATTACTCAATTCAGTGCGAACATTTCAAAGGGGCGTAATTGCATTTGTAAACAATGGCTTTCGCCGTCGATTTCTCGCGAATAAAAGCTCACTCATGAAAAATAATGACACCAGAAGGTAGAGGACAGGCTTGCAATTGCTCATTACAGCTAAAATGATATTTTTCGGTATTATGATACAATGGGATACTATCAACAATCAATACGAAACTAACGATTTTAAATTGGCTCACCACTTTAGTAGCCTATTGGTCCCAAGCAAACGATTAACGTACCCTATTCTAGTTGAAATTCTATTACTACACTATGTTTGTTTTGATTCGCTATGAAAGTTTGACAGATAACATCAGGGGTGTGTGGATTCATGCAGAACATGCAGGGGTGAGTGAAATAGCTTGGGACTGCTTGGGACCGTTGTTCTGGTACTGAGTGAGCCAAAAATAATAATGATTTTCTTCGGGACCCAGTGGTCTTAGAGTTACCTCTATGGTCGTACCAACAATCAATTCGAAACTAACGATTTTAAATTGGCTCACTACTTGACTAGCCTATTGGTCCCAAGCAAATCGATTAACGTACCGCATTCTAGTATAAATTCCAGTACTACACTATGTTTGTTTTGATTCGCTATGAAAGTTTGACAGATAAAAATAGGGGTTTGTGGATTTTCCTATGTTTCGAGGCGTGCATCGATTAGCTTGGGACTGAAGATAGTACCAGAGCTGAGCCAAAAAGTTGAGCTCGTTTCTTCGGGACCTTTTAGTCTTAGAGTTACCTCTATTGTCGTACCATAGAGGTAACTCTAAGACTAGAAGGTCCCGAAATAACGTGCTCAACTTTTTGGCTCAGCTCTGGTACTCTCTTCAGTCCCAAGCTAATCGATGCACCCCTTGAAACATTGTGTAGTACTGGAATTTATACTTGAATGGGGCACGTTAATCGATTTGCTTGGGACCAATAGGCTAATCAAATATTGAGCCAATTTAAAATCGTTAGTTTCGTATTGATTGTTGCTAGTAGGTCCTGAAGAAACGAGCTCTACTTTTTGGCTCAACTCTGGTACTATCTTCGGTCGCTTCTTCTTCTTCTTCTTTTCCTTTATTCAACGTCGGTCTCACGCTTACCACTACACCACCGGCGCCGGCTATCTTCGGTCTCAAGCTAATCGATTCACCCCTCGAAACATAGGAAATTTCACTAGCCTCTCATTTTATCTGTCAAACTTTCATTGCGAATCAAAACAAACACTGTGTAGTACTAGAATTTTGACTAGAATGGGGTACGTTAATCGATTTGCATGGGACCAATACGCCTTTTTAATGCACCACCAACGTAGAGTGCGCCACGCGAGTTCTAGAAGAAGAAACGTCAACCAAACCGTTTGTTTACATCAGAATAACTATTTTTCACAACGCAAACTAAAGCATTTTTGATTCAACATCTTGCCAATTTCTATCTGTAATTGGGTAATTATACGATTTTCCACAGATCTGAACTGATTTGTACCTTAACTATTCACACACAAGAAATCCGGAAGATCATAACCACTAAGGCACTTTTCTAATTTTCCATTTTTCTCAACAAAAATATTCCTGAACACCAGCAGGATCTTTGCAAAAACGTTACATAAATAATTTTTTCAACTGTAGAATAAGTTTTGGAGCATCTCAGATGAATCAATTTATCAGTAAAAGTAAAAAAGTGTTCCACTTCCTATGTCTCAAGGCAAACATTTCTGCTCACAACACTCTTTTTGACGTCCTCCTATTCACCATGCGTGGAGGCGAACCAGCCCACACGAATTGCCGGCGAAAAAGTGACGTCATTTGACATTGAGCGACTTGAAGACTGATCGTTCGCCCTTTGTCCGGGATGCGGACAAAAGGCGACTCGCCCCGCTAGAGTAATTTCATCCGCCGGGCGACCAAATGGCGCTCCGGGATGCGGACGAAGGGCGACTCGCCCCGCTAGAGTAATTTCATCCGCCGGGCGACCAAATGGCGCTCCGGGATCCGGACGAAAGGCGACTCGCCCCGCTAGAGTAATTTCATGCGCCGGGCTACCAAATGGCGGATGGAAGTTGTTTTTATTTTTTTGTGATTTTGTTCGTAGCGGCTGATTACGTGGTCAGCCATGTTTTTATTTCATTCGTGGAAGTCGTTTGTTTTTCTTCGGGCCGTGAAATTGGCCTCCGATGGCCATATTCGGGAGTGAATGGTCTTCCGACGGGACCAAAGACGGAACATTTTTATACTCAAGGTAAGTAAACTACTTTTCAATAAAAACAAAAACAATCACCCCTATTCTGTGTTTCGTTTCGAACGAAATTCTCATACAAAAAAATATTTTTTTGTATGAGAATTTCGTTCGAAACGAAATACAGAACAGAGGTGAATATAGTTTGATAATTTTTGTAAATTTTTTTCAGCCGGCTGCTGGCGTCACGGACTGGGAGTGGACTCCACACCGAGATGGATTTTTATTCAACCGAAACCGGGGTGAATTCCCTCCCAACGGAACCGAGGAGGTCAACAAAATCAGCAAGCCAACATGCCAAGTGGAATACTCTCAAGGTAAATATACTGCATGCAAACGGAAACAAGGGCAATGTTGATAATTTTTGTTTATATTTTTCATCCAGATCCAGTTAAGTGCAATTCTGGATACATGATGGTGAAGCTGGAATTAGCTACGGGAAGTTGATTTAAGATAAGTATTGCCCTGTTTGTTGTTTTAAGTGACATCATTTGTCATAATTAATCCGCTGGAGGAATTCGGATGAGTTAAACATCCTTTGGGAGGTCTGGGGATTGTGATCCTCCGAACTGAATTCTAGATAGAGCTGGAATTAGGGCCAATGTCGCAATGGGCTTGAACTGAGAAAAATGAATCTGAAGTTTTGAACAAAAATAATTAAATATAATTTAAACTATAAGCCGATTTCTAGAAATGAACTGTTCCTAATTGTAACATTATTGGTTAGCATTATGGTGAGATAAATAAAAATATTATTATTTTTATTTACAGCTCGAAAAAAATGAAAATGTTGCATGCGCCGTTTTGATTTATAGTATCTTGTATCGCCCTGAGGTTATTCGCCTGGCTGCGTTCACAGAAGCTATTTCGCCCCATATGTTTCGCCTGCTAGTTTTTGACATTGTCTGTTTCGCCTCAATGTTTACGTTCTTTTTCCTGATAGTTTGTTACTATCGACCTTTTGCAGTTTGTTGGATTCTAGATAAATTCATGTGTTGGGGTGTTTTCGCTTATTTCGATCAGATTAACAATGTTTTCTTTTGATTACCAACCGGTAATTGCAAGGAGTGGTGAAAAGATTCAAATTATATCTTTCGCCTAGTATTCAGAAAATATGTCTGTTTCGCCCCATCTATGTATATGGGAGGAAGCGGCCGTAAGAGCCAACTCAATTTGCAATAAAAAAAAAGTTGGTTTCGCCCTTATGTTTTTTGCG